GTTAAATAGTAATCCAAAAGGTTGATTATGTTCTGGTTTAGACCTTTGACAGATAGGACATGTTTTGACATATAATTCAATGGTTTTATCCTGGCGAGGCCACCAATAATATCGTGAAGTTAGTTCAAGTGTTTTCTTTATTCCAGGATGTCCAGCTAGGGGTGAATCATGAACCATCTTAAGTAATTTATTCCTAAGAATGGGAGGAATATAAATTGTATTTTTAAAATAAAATATACCATCCTTTTTTGTTAGTATAGGTGTTTTGGGAAGTTCAAGATCCTTCTGATTCAAATTCTTTATGTCATCATGAAGAGAAGAGAGGATCCCTATTATTTTGTTAGGAGGATAATCATCAGTAGTAGTTTTAGAAGGAATTCGAGAAAGAGCGTCAGCCTTTTTATTTCTAGTTCCAGGTCTGTATATTAATTGGAAGTTAAATCGGTTAAAAAATAGGTTCCATCTAACTTGTCTAGCTGTAAGGGTTTTGTTAGTATAGAGATATTCAAGATTTTTATGGTCAGTATAAACTATTATAGGTTGTTTTATATCTTCCAGAAGATGACGCCAATTTTCGAAGGCAGCTTTAACACTTAATAATTATTTTTCACCAATAGGATAATTTTTTTCAGCAGAGCTCAAGGATCTTGAAAAAAAGGCAACTGGATGAAGTGGATCTTGTGGAGTCTTTTGTTGAGAAAGAACTGCTCCGATGGCTGCATCTGATGCATCAACTTCAAGAACATATAAGAATGCTGGATTAGGTAGTTGTAGAATAGGTGCAGTTGTAAATCTTTTTTTTAATTCGTCGAAGGCTGTTTGTGCATCTTTATTCCAATTGAAAGGACGTTTACTACTGTTGAGGAGGTTAAGAGGATGTGATACATCCGAATAGTTTCTAATAAATTTTCTATAGAAGTTTGCAAATCCAAGAAAACGTTGTAATTCTTTTGTAGTAGTAGGAGCGGGCCAGTCAATAATACATTTGATTTTGGAATTATCCATCTTTAAGGAATGAGGTGAAATAATGTATCCTAGAAAAGAGAATTCAGTAACCTCAAAAAGGCATTTTTCTGGTTTAGCGTATAATTTATGAGTTCTCAATCTGGATAGAACCCATCTAACATGCTTCCTATGTTCATCCAAATTGTTAGAATATATTAAGATATCATCTAAGTAGATAATAACACATATATCCAGAAGATCTCTAAAGATATCATTTATAAAATGTTGAAATGTTGCAGGGGCATTACAGAGCCCAAAAGGCATCACTAGATATTCGTAGAGACCATATCTTGTCCGGAAGGCGGTTTTCCATTCATCATCCTGTTTTATTCTAATGAGGTTATATGCGCCTCGAAGGTCGAGTTTAGTGAATATAGTTGCAGTTCTTAACCTTTCAATTAATTCATTTATTAGTGGAAGAGGATAACGATTTTTAATAGTTATTTTATTTAAGGCTCTGTAATCTATAATAGGACGGATGGTTTGGTCTTTATTCTTCACAAAGAAAATACTAGAAGCAGCTGGGGAGGTTGAGGGTCTGATGAACCCTTTGCGTAAATTTTCATTAAGATATTCTTTTAAAATTTCTAACTCCTTTTCAGAGAGTGGATAAATATGACCATAAGGAATAGGAGCTCCGGGTATGAGATCTATTGGGCAATCATATACCCGATGAGGAGGAAGTGTTTCCGCTTCTTTTTTACAAAAGACATCTGCAAAATCGGAGTAGAATGGAGGTAAAACTGGTTCTACAGTAGTTTGGAGAATAGGAATGTGTTGTAAGCACGTTTTTTTACAGAAATCAGAAGCAAAGGAGATGGAGAAGGGAGACCACTTAATTAAAGGATCATGGGTTTTTAACCAATTAATTCCTAGAATGACGGGATAAAGTGGAGATTTAATAATATCAAATGTAATGAATTCGAAATGTACGTTGTTGGTAATCATTCTTAGAGGGATTGTCTCATCTTTGATGGGTCCTGAGGATATAAATGAACCGTCAATAACTCTGATTGGAATAAAGTTAGTTTTTTGAACACAAGGAATTTTATTTTTTGAAACAAAAGAAAAATCAAGAAAAGTTCCATTAGCACCAGAATCAATGATGGCCTCAGTCACGATTCTTTTTGTATCCCACTGTAATATGAGAGATATAGAAAAATAAGTAGATGCTTTTCTTTTTTGAAAAACGTTCAATATAGAGGTAGATGAATGAAGCTTACCACCTTTTGAATGTTTCAGTAGAGGACATTCGGAAATTAGATGTTCATTCGAAGCACAATACATACATAAGTTTAGTTGTCTCCTTCTTATTCTTTCTTCAGAAGTAAGAGGACTTTTTATTATACCTACTTCCATAGGTTCAGTTTGTGGAGGAATTTTTTCAGGTAGTTTTAGAGTAGTGAAAGGTTTTCTCCAGGTAGAATTAGTAAGAACCCTTTCAGCTTTTCTTTCTCTTAGACGTCTATCAATACTGATAGACAGTTGAATCAATGCATTTAAGGTAGGAGGAAGTTCTGTACGAGAGAGTTCATCTTTCACAGCTTCAGATAATCCGAGACGGAATTGATTGCGTAAAGTAATGTCATTCCATTGGGTTTCTGTAGCCCATCTTTTGAATTCTGCAATATAATCTTCAACAGGTCTATTCTTTTGGTGTAATGTTCTGATGGTTAAATCAGCAGTAGTTTGTTTAAAAGGATCTTCATATAATAAAGACATAGCTTCAAAGAACTCATCCAATGAATCTAATATGGGATCATCATTTTCCAAAAAGGAATGGGCCCAGGCCATAGGTTCACCTCTTAAAAAAGAGATCACTGAACAGACTTTGGATCTTTCGGTGGGATAAGATCTAGGTTTTAAAGCTATTAGTAGTTTGCAAGAATTCAAAAACTCTCTGTACTTTGTTCTATCTCCATAAAATTTTTCTGGATTACAGACAGCAGGATCACCAGCCGATTGAAGAGCGGCATGAGGAAGATGACCTTGAATGTCTCTAACATAGGTTAATATTCTCTCATTTGTAATTTGCAGTTCCTGTAAACCTTGAGCAATCGTATCCACTCTATTGGTTAGGGCAGAAACTTGAGAGTTGATATCTGCTGGTTCCATTAAATAAGGCTGGATTATTCTGTAATATTTATTTTGTAATACTTCTTTAATTGGAACTCAACTGCAGAATTTCCTGGTTGCAGCAACAATAAGTTTCACCTCCTTTTATATTGATATGAAACAATGGTCACTGTACCTTTAAATACACATGAAGGAAAAATTAGGCTTTGTAGCAATCCCTTATGAATAAGAGGAATAATTAGACAAAGTGACACTTTAGTGAGTTTTAGATACTGTGTAACATAAATAATAGGAATTGGCTTGTTTGGTAAAAGTATTACTTAACTTAAAGGCAGTTCTGGCACTGGAAGGGTTAATTCACCCAATGAAGGAGAAATTAGAAGTCCGTTTCAACAAGCTGAGAACTAGGAGTGGAGAGTGGGGAAGTCCGTTTTAACAAGCCGAGGTCTGGGAGTGGAGAAGGTAGAATTCAGAGTTACAAGCCGAGGTCTAGGAGTGGAGAAGGTAGAAATCCGTTTACAAGCCGAGGTCGAGAAGTGGAGAAGGTAGAAATCCGTTTTACTAGCCGAGGTCTAGAAGTGGAGCAGGTAGGATCAAAAGTAGAGCAGCTGATCTTTCTGCAGCACCTGTGCGAATAATCCAGCCCTTTGAATCTGGCGCGGTCTTCCTAAGTATCGTGGAGGGACCGCGTCAGAAAAAAGGGCGGGGCTGAGCGCCGTGAACCCGGAAGTGGGTTCCGGCGACGAAATATATGCCATGCTATCCCTGACACAAGGACTGTTGTTCTCTTGCGATGATGGGGACCCTTGGGGGTCCAATCTGTGTTGGAGGGGAATGGAAATCTATGACATAACCCCGTACCGTCTGAAGGACCCATACATCTGAAGACACCTCCCGCCACCTGTCTCTGCAGTGAAACAGTCTGCCCGCATGCAAAGTAGGGTGAACGAAAGTGGTAGGAGGTGCACTCACCTGCAGGAAATATCGCCCGTCCTCTGGCGCGGTATCCGCGACCTCTATCCGCCCTCTGAGCATAGGGGGTTCTGGAGTGGTATGACGGAAAGAAGGACGGACCACGGGATCTGTGGCGGCCCGAGGACCAGCCGTGGTTGGAGACACGACCCCGCTGTCGTCCAGCCCGTCCAAAAACCCGGGATGATTGCGGCCGAAAAACCTTCTTAATGGAAGATTGAGCTTTATCCAGGGAGGTAAACAGGTTGACGTGCTTCTGTAGCTCCTTAATGAAGGGTTCCCCGAACAATAGGCCCTTAGCCATGGGGCCCAATTCTTTGGAGCCCAGTTCCGATAGTTTGTTGTCCATACGGAACAGAGCTGTCTTCCTGCGCTCAGTGCAGAGGGCCACATTGGCATTGCCTAGCAGGCAAATGGAACGTAGTGCCCAGTCCCGCATGGCGGCCGGATCCAGGTTCGTACCTTCTGTGTAGGCCTCGTCTGCTAAGGCCAACATCCTGCATAGGGGTCCCAGCACGTCCAGCTGCTTATCTTGCGCTGACCGGAGGCTACGCTCCACCCCCTTCTTGGGGTCCTGACCCGAACGGGTCAAATACGTGGCCACCAAGGGGTCAAACTTCGTGGTCGCTGCCACCTTGTCCGGCAGGACGGGTCTGGGGCATTCCGCCCTCAGTTTCTTGCGGGCCTCCCCTTCAAGGGGTCTGCGGACCCAGTAGTGCACGAACTGTGCCAAGTGGTCGGGCAACGACCATTCTGAGGACCTGGGGTGTCGGATAGACCAAGGGTCAAACATGGGTTCTCCCGTAGCATCCAGAAAGGTGTCGTCTCCCGGCACCACCAAGGGGGCCTCTGTCCCTGGCACGTCTTCATCCTCCCAGCGCCAACTGGGGCCATCCCCACGGTCCTCGACCCAATCTCCATCTTCATCTGAAGGGGACTAGTCTGTCCGCCACTCATCCAACATGGCCACAGTAGGGGGGGTAAGGAGGCCTCCTCCCCTGCGCCCGATATACGACGGCGCCTGGCCGGCGAGGTTGATAACCTCGAACCATGTCGCTTCGCCGGAGCCTTGCCCTTCCGGGAGCATGGTTCAGGGCCTTCACCCTTCCAATAGCGCATTTGCGCACTTGCCTGCTCTATTTCCTGAGAGTCTGACTCAGCCGAGTCGTCTGCCAAAAGGGGGGTTCCTCTCGCACCCCTGTCAGTCTGAGGTTGAGGAAGAGCCCTCGCCAGGGCTTTCTCCACAGAGGCGGCCACAGCCACATTAATCAATGCCTGCAAGTTTTGCTCCTGCGCAGCGGCTTCCATGACGCCTGAGATACGGTATGTGATACCTAAGGAGACAGAGAACAGGTATCAGTAGCAGGCAGTAGGGGCAGCACCCCTAGTATGGCAGAGGCAAGTATCAACGCATGCAGGCTCAACAAATCTTGTTCCAGGGTAAGGAGCCATCAGACAAAGGCCAATCACGGGGCACAGACAAAGCAGGCCAATCAAGGGGCACAGACAAAGCAGGCCAATCATAAGGGCACAGACAAAGCAGGCCAGTATATGGGCATGGGCAGCACCGGCCCAGTGGTATGTGAGGCAGGAGCGTAGGTCCTTGTGGTAGACGTGCGGGTATATCTTGACATACAGTGCGTGTAGGGCAGAGGTGAAACCGGGTGCAATGACAGCACAGTGATGCTAAGCGGGTCCCATGCATTGAAATGACTAGAGCCACCTATATCCCAGGGGACATGCAGCAAAATCATGCAAATTTAGTAACATGCACTGAAGAGAAAAACTGCAGGCAGGAGTAGAGAACCCCAAACCTGCCCATAGGAACCCAGAAAAACCTGTAGGAATGACCCCCCAAACAGAGGGGGCTGAACATAAAATAAAAATAAATTGGGCACTGCGCGCTTAAGGAATAAAGGTGCGTGCGGCAGAGACTGAACAGAGAGCCGCTCACCCCCGTGGCCGGCCACGTGGTCGCGGGGGGGAAGGGCGCCCAGAAGCGGAGGCACCCGCGGCAATAACCCAACACCCTGTTCTGTCCCCACGCCGCTCGGGAAACAGCAACAAGCGACCGGGGACGCGGGCAGGGCAGGAAGGCAAGGATAGGATTCCCGCTGGGCGGACGAAGCCGGCGGGCGGGAATCAGTACCAGAAACACGTAGGACCGCAGGAGTCTTACTCCGCGGTCCCGACGGCGGCACGGGAAGCGGTCGGGAAACCGCTTCTCCGCGACCGCAGAAAGTAAACAATCCAAACCCAAAAGAAGGGAAAAGAAATCAAAGAGAAAGGAAAAAAAGGGGACACAAGTAACAGATAAGTAAGGCAATGCCCAAACACAAGGATAAACACAGCAATAAGAAACAGAAACACTGATAATCCAAGGCAAGAAAACATAAGAAAATCACCAAATATAAATAATAATAATAGACGGTACGGGGAATAGAGAGCAGGTTTTAAAAGACCGGTACGGGGAATAGAGAGCGGGTTTTAAAAGACCGGTACGGGGAATAGCGAGCGGGTTTTAAAAGACCGGTACGGGGAATAGAGAGCAGGTTTTAAAAGACCGGTACGGGGAATAGTGAGCGGGTTTTAAAAGACCGGTACGGGGAATAGGGAGCGGGTTTTAAAAGACCGGTACCGGGAATAGGGAGCGGGTTTTAAAAGACCGGTACGGGGAATAGAGAGCGAGTTTTAAAAGACAGGTACGGGGAATAGAGAGCGGGTTTTAAAAGACCGGTACGGAGAATAGGGAGCGGGTTTTAAAAGACCGGTACGGGGAATAGCGAGCGGGTTTTAAAAGACCGGTACGGGGAATAGCGAGCGGGTTTTAAAAGACCGGTATGGGGAATAGGGAGCGGGTATTAAAAGACCGGTACGGGGAATAGGGAGCGGGTATTAAAAAAAGACCGGGAAATAGCGAGTGGGTTTTAAAAGACCAGTACGGGGAATAGCGAGCAGGTTTTTTAAAAGACCGGTACGGGGAATAGCGAGTGGGTTTTAAAAGACCGATACGGGTGTAGCGGAGATGCAATATTACCCAGGTTATCTCCGCTTATAATCCAAGTGAGACTCAGGAACAAGTAAATAGTAAATCCATAGGCAAGGCTTCCAGCAGGTAAAATACAGCAATATCCCAACAGCAATCCCAATAACTGGACGACACACAGTTTCAGGAGCAGAACTGAAAGCTTTTAATCCACAGTCTCCTTATAAAACATGCTCCCATGCAAGGGAGGGATTTACAGTAATTATTACAGTAGCCAATCCTGTCCTGGTAACCTCCCACACATCTCCTCCCCTCAGCCAGCATCATAATCCCCTTATCCAGCACACCAATTCCCCCCGTTTCTGGATGTACCCCTAAACGTATGGGTACCTCTTTAAATCCTACATCCCCGGATACCCCTAATCTGGGTGAACAACATATCCAAAAATCACCCAGATCAGACCAGGGGTTCGGGAAAAGTATGGAGGGAATAAAATGACCGACCGCACGAACGGAGATAGCCGAATCCGGTTCCATGTGAATGGGCCCTGCGGTCGGTCCTGGCATAAGGGAATAAAATACACGAAAACCTCTAGCTATAGAGGCTAGGGAGGGTTCGCCTGAATCCCCTCGTTCGGTATTTTCTATCTACCGAACGAGGGGCCGTTCGGTAGTTTGGAACCGAACGGACCAGGGCTGTGGAGGTCTCAGCGGTGTTCGCCTACTCGAGTGTCCGATTTTAGTTCCAGACACTCGACGGCAAAACACCGCTGTTCGGGAGTTTTAAAATGGCCGCCGCCACGTGTTCGTTTGTCGAATGGCGGCCACCCCCGAGAACAAAGGACGGCTACTTACTATTCAATTACCCGTTCGCAACAATGTTGCAACGGGTAATTGAGGACACACTTCACACAGGGGAGGTCTGGTTGTTCGGTAGTTTCATTCGAATAAACTAAGGGAATGAAACTACCGAACAATCAGAGGAATACAATTCTTTTTAATACATAGAAAACACAGCAGATACACGAATTCAGGTATATACAGTATATTTGTAGGGTCGCCTGGTGCCATCCGCTACAACAACGTTTCAGCATACAAGAATACAGGAACACGACGACACATAGTCTGGGAGTCTTTATTGACAAGTCTGCTTTTATGCATTTTTACCATGCAAGGGAGGTAACTTCCATAATTATTACAGTATCCAATCACATAGTGGTTACCTCCCCTACATCCCCTCCCCTTAGATTAACAGTTAAGCTCATTAATAGGTACACAGTTTTCCCCAATTCGTGGATGTACCCTAAATACAGGGGGTACACCTTTGAATGAGGGGTCCCCTGGTAGCCCTGATCTGGGTGAGCAACATACTCAAAATTCACCCAGATCGGACCAGGTGTTCGGGAGTTATTGCAGGAGGAAGATTTGACCGACCGCACGGGCACAGTAGCTGAAAATAGTTCCATGAATTCTGGCCCTGCGGTCGGTCTCCTTTCGTGAATAAAAAGTCCCGAAAGTCTATGGCATCCAGGCTTAACTTGGCATTCGGATGAATCCCCTAGTTCGTGGGATTCCACATACCGAATGCTGGGCGGTTCGGTTGGTTCATTCGGTACTTTTAGGCGTGCTGGAGGTCTTAGCGGTACTTGGTTAGCCGAATGCCCGATTTGGGTTCCAGGCGTTCGACGACCCAGTACCGTACCGCTGTTCGTGCATCAGATGGCCGCCGCCACGTGTTCGGTAGGCGAAATGGCGGCCGCACACGAACTCTCAATTAGCACCCTTTGCAACATTGTTGCCTTCGGTAATAAGGGACACACGACCACAACGGGGTGGTCCCTCATTCGGTAGTTTACTGGTGTTCACATAAACCGCAGTGTAGGTAGTTCGTGAACCGAGTCTCGGATAATTACTGCCTTAGCAAACATACGGCCATTATAATCCCAGTTCATTCGCACAGAAAAGTTTCTTGTCAGTCTCTTAGTGGCATAGTTTGCCACAGATCCTTTGTCTCACCAGCGGGGTTTGGTTGTCGAGCGCGTGGAACTGAAAACGGCTACTCGACAGCGCGAACCCCGCTGGACTTCCAGGCCGTTCGGGAGTTCCGGTATTCCCCTATTACGGTTTCCAATAGGGGTTCGGTAGTTTCAGGCGAACTCATGGACAAAGTGTTTTTCATGCGGCGTTCGGTTGTTTTAGCTGGGATCTGAGCGGTATTCTCACGAAAGGTGCGCTCAGACCCCAGCTATCTACCGAATGTCCATTCGTTTAAATCACCCAAGTATTGTAAAAGTTATATATTTTAATGTGAAATGTGGGTTCTGCTGCACGGAGGGATAATCCACTTAACGGTACATTCCAGTGGGAGTATCCCTCTTGTCCAGCAGTGCCTGATGGGAGAAAAGGTCTGAATGTTAACTCCCCCATGTAGTCCCCTACTGTATTACCCCTGCTATGTCAGTATGGAAACCCCTTGCATGGGGACTTGCATAAATACTGGATGCTGTGAATAAAAACCTCGGTTGACTCCCAGAACTGTGTCTCGTCCGGTTACTAGGGGATTTGGGATATTGCCTTACTTTTCAGCGCTGACCGTAGATTACCTTCTTTACCAGCGGAGATCGTGGAATTTAATATTGCCGCTCCGCTACACTCTATATACCATCACGTGATAATACAGCTCCTTCTGCTCACATCCTCTATATACCATCACATGATAATACAGCTCCTTCTGTAAACATTCTCTATTTACCATAACATGATAATACAGCTCCTTCTGCTCACATTCTCTATATACCATCACGTGATAATACAGCTCCTTCTGCTCACATCCTGTATATACCATCACATGATAATACAGCTCCTTCAGTACACATTCTCTATATACCATCACGTGATAATACAGCTCCTTCTGCACACATTCTCTATATACCATCACGTGATAATACAGCTCCTTCTGCACACATTCTCTATATACCATCATGTGATAATACAGCTCCTTCTGCACACATCCTCTATATACCATTACGTGATAATACAGCTCCTTCTGCACACATTCTCTATATACCATAACATGATAATACAGCTCCTTCTGCTCCCATTCTCTGTAATGGATCACCTGGCACCCCGACTGGGTACCTCCGTTGAAGGATGCTCCTAGCGCTTCCTGAGGACTCCAAGCACTGCAGCAGACACCACAATTACCGAACCAGAGAAGCATTGAATGCTCTCAAGCATATGAATGCTGTAAGCAGCTGAACAGGAAAAGTATACAATCAGCTTACACTCCTGGCAATCAGCATACAATCCAATTCCCCCAATAACGAGACGACACTTCGTTTTGAGGTCAAGCAGAACTGACTGTACTGGCACATACAGCCTCTTTTATTCACAATCCACAAACATAGTACTGCCCACAGGGTTTTGAAATACAACCAATCAATCCTTACAATACACACAGACACTCCCACACAAAATCCTCCCCTCTGCCTGTGATATGATTACTGAACACAATGGTTAATATAATTATCACAGGCAGAGAAATACAGTATTATAAAACATATCACAGGGACCCCAAAACATGCAATAACCCCATAAAAAGTATATCCTCGGAACTGGGGGATCTGGGTGAACCACATATCCAAAATTGACCCAGATCCGTTCAGTAATTTGGAAGATACCGTTTAATGCAGATTCTGCAGAACATATACAAGCTATATGAAAAATAATTACTGTATAATGTGTCCCCTGTTGTATAGTTTAAAACTACTGCACGATGTCTTTGTGCACCAAATACCGGCGAGATGGCACCGTGTAGAAAAGTTCTCACCATGTGCCTCTGATACATGAAATGATGGCCACCCAGTAACTCCACAGTATGTCCCCAGATGTTTCTTAAAGGGCCAGCAGCAGCACAATACAAATCTATTATGCCCAAATCCAGGGCTGCCATCAGAAATTTTGGGGCCCCTGACACAGCTCAAGGTCTGGGCCCTCCGGTGCCTGCACCCGAGTCCGCCCAAAGTGCTGCCCCCCCCCGAGTCCGCCCACAGGGATGCAGTGTCTGCAGGGCCGGTGCAAGGATTTTTGCCACTCTAGGCAAAAGTAGAGTTTGCCGCCCCCCCATGTGACATCACAATGCCCCACCCATATGATCTGCCATGTTAACTAACGCCAGTGCTGCAGTGCCGCCGTGTTTACATTAAAAGGTCTGCAGGGAGAGGCTAGACACCAGAACCACTACATTAAGCTGCAGTGGTTCTGGGGACTATAGTGTCCCTTTAATGTGAGGTAAATTAGAGATTAGTGCCATGAATAATATACTAGATTGCCTACTTACAACCAGATGAGGATGATGATGGGCTCTAGCTCCACCTGGTCTGGTGTAGAACAGGCTCTCTGGAGGCGGTTTGTAACTGTGGTCACAAAAAAATCAATGTTCTGGGAGAACGGGAAGCAGCTCCATTTTTTTGAGGGCCCTTTACACAGCTCAAGGTCTGGGTCCCAGGGTCCACCTTCATGTTCCACCAATGAGTTTGTTCACAGGGGGTAGAGTGTGTGTGTGGGGGATGTCCTGATGTGTGTAAGGAATGCATTGTGTAAATCTGTGTTTGTATGTGTAAGGGCTGCAAGGTGTGTTTGTGTATGTATGGGATGCAGTGTGTGCATCTGTAACGGATGCATTAAGTGTGTTTAAGGGGTGCATTGTGTGTTGCTGTGTGTAAGGAATGCATTGCTTGTGTATGTGTGTCTGTATGTAATGCATTGTGTGTTTTTCTGTGTGCAGGGGGTGCATTGTGTGTGTGTGTGTGTGTGTGTATGTGTGTGATGGATGTCAATCTCTCCCCCTCCCCTGTCAATTTCCTTCTCCCCTCTCCAATTTCCTTCTTCTCCCCCCCCCTCTCCAATTTCCTTCTTCTCCCCTCCTCTCCTTCTTCTCCCCCCTCTCCAATTTCCTTCTTCTCTCCCTCCCTCTCCAATTTCCTTCTTCTCCCCCACCCTCCAATTTCCTTCTTCTCCCCCTCTCCAATTTCCTTCTTCTCCCCCTCCCTCTCCAATGTCCTTCTCCCCTTCCCTCTCATTGCCTTCTCCCACCTCCAATTTCCTTCCTCTCCCCCTTCCCAGAAATTTCCTTCTTCTCCCCCCTCCAACTTCCTTCTTCTCCCCTTCCTCTCCAATTTCCTTCTCCCCCCCTCCCTCAAATTTCCTTCATCTCCACCCCCCCTCGATTTCGCTCTCTCCCCCCTCCCTCAAATTTCCTTCCTCTCCCCCCCTCCCTCAAATGTCCTTCCTCCCCCAAATGTCGGCTTCCTTTGCCCTCCTCAAATGTCCTTTCTCTCCCCCCCCCCCTCAAATGTCCTTCCTCCCCCCCTCAAATGTCCTTCTTTTCCCCCCTCAAATTTCTTTCCTTGAGGGGATTCCCTGGGGTCCAGTGGTGACACCCGGCGGCTGTTCCTGCGCGTGCGCGAGGGAGCACTGTCCCTGGCTGAGTGCTTCCTCT